ATTTGTACACTTATTTTGGCGTCGACCTAACAGTTGTAGTTTCATTTTTCTTTTAAATAGTATTGTTGAAAAGCTGATAAAATATTGTTCAGAAATTATGATTTTTCAAAGGAAAACATTACGGTATCTATAAATCGTATACAAATTTTAAGATGATAAAGAATACTATAAATAGTTTGTGCATGCGCACAGGTAAACGAAACGTCACAATGTTAAACTTTCATAAAGGAATAGTCTGTTATATCCTAACAAGGGATTTGTATGATCCAATAAACTTTAAACGCCAACCGTTCATATATTAAATAAAAAGGGGTATAATGCGGAAATATTCCGTTTAATTAGGAAAATAGCATGCATTGACGACTGAGCTGCTATTTAATACGTTATTGCACCAGACCGATCTATATTGCAGTATGATTACCTACATTGTGCATACTTTTGTAATGTTTGTCATAAAATGTGTGGATTATTGTGTAGGATTGCGCACTTATTTATAATCCTTCATGTACAGATTTAATCAAACCGGGTCTGCAATTTTCACGTAATTTTGTTGTGATTAATGCTTCCGAGAGATCACTTTGTTTCCAGAATATTTTACTTAAAATATTTACTGTTATTTAAAAGTGGTACAAAAGGATTGAGGCCGCAGATGTTATGGAAAGGTGTATTATGGCAAGCAAACACGCCTAAAATTTCTTAAATGCTACATACATGGGAGTAAATGTTGTGTTCAGTGCTGTACTATATGAAAATTTGCATTTGTGTTTGTTGGTGACAAATTAAAGAAGTACCAATGCATACAATTTTTTTGATTTCCAATTTTCTAGCTAATGCACATAATAGCAACACACCATATAATTAATTTGTTTATAATAGAGGTATTTACTTTTGGTTCAAACCACATGTCTTCACCTCATTTTACTTGATGGTGTAGAGGATGAAAACTATTTGGTTCACAGTTAGTTTCATCTGCTTTACAGTTATATAGTCATGCTCATTAGAATCACACATATGATTGTTAAAAGATGGTATCCGAAACTTTGCAAATTCGGCGTTTTCCGTGCTATTCCCCCGGTACAAACAAAGTTTTAATGTTACAGCTTCACGGTGCACTACCCGTCACAATAGATTAGTCAATCTGTTTAGCTTTATTTCGAAGCTGTAACTGTAAAAGTGTGTTATCACTGATTGTTTTGTAATGCTGATATTAATGCTCTAGCTACTTGGAAACGTAACATTTTCAAAATTATTGATTCACGTATTAACTTTTATCGTGGAAATGAACATCTTCTTCCACCTAAACCGAGACTTACTTTAAGACATCTGAAAAAGGATATTCTAGCTTTTCACTCAAAATTTGTTTTGGTACCAGCGGACAAGGCGGCTAATAATATCATAATTGTATGACGTATCCATTACATCAACGTTTTACATAAAGAACTTAATAGCACTAATGCGTATTCTAAAACGACTGCTTCTGAAAAAGACATTGTTAACAATTATGTTACTAATATTTCCAGTCTAAAAGTCCGAATCGATGAAAAAGAACTAAAAAATAGATAAATACAGAATCCCTAAAGAAAGCCCAACACGGCAAAATTGAAAATGTTGCAGGCTCGGTTTGATTGAGCCTGTTCATGGACGGTACTGGAAAGTGCAAGTTACCGTCCACGCCCCCTAGCACCGGCTTAAAGTGTGTTATCACTGATTGTTTTGTAATGCTGATATTAATGCTCTAGCTACTTGGAAACGTAACATTTTCAAAATTATTGATTCACGTATTAACTTTTATCGTGGAAATGAACATCTTCTTCCACCTAAACCGAGACTTACTTTAAGACATCTGAAAAAGGATATTCTAGCTTTTCACTCAAAATTTGTTTTGGTACCAGCGGACAAGGCGGCTAATAATATCATAATTGTATGACGTATCCATTACATCAACGTTTTACATAAAGAACTTAATAGCACTAATGCGTATTCTAAAACGACTGCTTCTGAAAAAGACATTGTTAACAATTATGTTACTAATATTTCCAGTCTAAAAGTCCGAATCGATGAAAAAGAACTAAAAAATAGATAAATACAGAATCCCTAAAGAAAGCCCAACACGGCAAAATTGAAAATGTTGCAGGCTCGGTTTGATTGAGCCTGTTCATGGACGGTACTGGAAAGTGCAAGTTACCGTCCACGCCCCCTAGCACCGGCTTAAGCAGAATTCAACATTTAAACATGAAATAGTAAAATTTTGAATTTAGAAACATCCGCAGATGTGTTCATACGGCGGTTATCATGGAACCTTCAATGTGACACAGTAGTGCCATTCCATGAAAAGCGGCGTATGGTCCCCAAGTAATAAAAAGCGTGTGCCCTAAACGAGAAAACAACTTCCTATTATGTATTGGATTCCTAAATTACATAAAAAACCTTACACAGCCAGATTCATTGCTAATTCTACATCTAGCACAACAACTAAACTTTCTATTTTATTGACGTCTTGTTTGACTGCCATTAAAACACATGTAATTAGATACTGTGATAAAGTATACGAAAATACAGGCAAACATCTATTTTGGTCCATTAAGAATTCCGGTGAAATTCTGGATAAATTAAAAACTAAGAACTATCGGGCTTCAACTGTCAGTACATACGATTTTTCTACCCTTTATACTACACTGCCACATAATTTGATTAATGATAAACTAATTTCCCTTATTCAGAAAACTTTGCACGGGAAAAAGTTACATTTCTTGCATGTAACTCTCAAAAAGCCTTCTTTACAAACTGTATTGTTAAACAATATACTATGTGGACCTGTGACGAAGTTTGTAGAGCACTCTCTTTTCTTTTAGACAATATTTATGTCAGGTTTGGTAATACCCTATTCAAGCAAATCATAGGAATTCCTATGGGTACTAATTGTGCACCCCTGGTCGCCGATTTGTTTTTGTATTGCTATGAAAGAGATTTTATGTTAAGTCTCTCTGAAAATACACAACAAGATATTATACCAGCATTTAATAACACTTCCAGATATCTTGATGACATTTTTAATTTAGGTAATTCTTTTTTTGATCAAATGGTGTCTTATATTTATCCTACGGAGCTACAACTTAATAAAACGAATTCTTGAAATTTAACTACATCATTTTTGGATCTTCATATCACTATCAAAAACAATTCGATTCACACGAAAATTTATGATAAAAGAGATGACTTTGATTTTAGTATAGTAAATTATCCTCATTTGGATGGAGACGTACCGCACGCAACATCTTACGGGGTTTATATATCTCAGTTAATTAGATTTGCTAGAGTTTGTAGCAACGTAAAGGATTTTAACGAGCGAAATATTTTCATTACCGGTAAGCTTCTAAAACAGGGCTACCGCTATTATAAATTACGTAAATATTTTACAAAATTTTACAATCGTAACTTTGATTTAATTTCAAAATTCAATAGTGATCTAAAAACACTTCTGCGACAAGGGATTAGCCAGCCTGATTTTTACGGTGATGTGGTTTACAAACTTCGTAAGATCTTGGGTCATTGTAATTTTTCTGTTGTGTTTACTAAAATTATAAAACGTTTTATTAAAAGGGGTTATGACCCTACTATTTTAAGACATACCGCATGCTTAGTGTTCAACCCATTTACAGTTGGACACTACGCTTTCCTCTTTTGATTACATCTGACGGACCAAGTGGGAGACTATATGATGGACAGTTCTTAAAGCCCTTTGGGACTGAATTGCCTTAATGTTTGTCTTCTGTCTTGCTTCATCGGACCCTTGTATGTGATTTTCTTGTTGCTCTATCTTCCTTTAAGACATCGAGTACTTTTGTTATGGTCATTGGGTTTACTTTTATATGTTTCTACATGATCATTTTAGTGTTTTACTTATTTAACCTTTTGTAACCATAACAACTGTTAGAATTTCACTTGGCGGGGATTCATTTTATTTACACTGTCTCGTTTATAGGAACATGGTGGGGCTAAGAGCGAGGTTTGGTGCACCATTAACCGGTTTAAACTCCCCAGTAGTCATTATTATGCTGCTGACCGTTCCAAGGCGGCGCCCCTCTGTGTTCCTCAGATGTATGTCTATGTTGTTTTATACTGTTTTGGTGACACTTTTGCTCGTGTCTCTTGTTGTTTCTCGTCTACGGTAAGTATCTTCCCTTGTCCCTGGTTTATATTTATTTTATTTCTCCCCCCCCCCTTCCCCGTGTCTCATGTCCCCTTCCCCTGTGCCTTTTGACATTGTGGGCCTTATATTAAATAATTTATTTGTTTTGTTTTATTTCCTTATAAGTTACTTATTATGTATTCTGATGTAGTGGTTTGCCTGCCCGTACTCTGCCTTGTGCCCTGTCCTGTTTTTCTTTGGGGTCCTCCTGGGCTCCTTGCCGCTGGCGCTTGTTGCTGGGTCGGGTGGGGGCTGCGTTCGTTGAATGCCGCCTTTCCTTGTCGATCTTGTTTATCATATTTTGTACCCCCGGATTAAATGGGGAAAAACAAATATTCTTAATTCCGTAGTAAGTCTATATTGCTGTTGATGTTTGAATGGAACGGAGGCGAAGTTTCTTATTTAAACATAAAGTGTACTTTTGATTTTGCCACAATGAGGTTGCAGACATGTTTGCTTATAAAACGCTTTTGGTCGTCTTGACAACAAAACAAGAACGGAAGTCGTAATGAAACACATTTTATTAACGAATTGTAGCTTTTTTGCTTTAATGAAGTTTATATACTACAGCTTCAAGTAATGTTGATAAGTCTTTTTTTAAAACAATGCTACATCATTTTTATTTAAATATTGAAAACTGTTATATAACAGTCTGCAAATCTTTCAGAAAATTAAAGGGAATCTTTGAAAAATTTTAGCACGACATGGTAACTCATTCTCACTTCTTATTTACTCATGCGCAAGGGATTTATTTAAACATACACGTGTCACCTCTGTACTACCTTAGTTTATTTTTATAATAAGAAATAAATTTTATTGTAATGGTGCACTTTATTTCAACAAGTTATTTTCAGTGATTTATAATTAGAATTTTTAGTCATAAATTTATTATATTTCGCTTTTGTTATATGAACAGTATTAGAGTAGTTTAAACTGTCTTCGATTTTTATCCATGTACTGTTTTTATTAAGAGTATATAATTTTTCAACTTGTTGTCAGACGATTATAAAATATCTATCGTTTATCGTCTTCTCACTTATGATTGTTTCATAGTATTTTATATGCATATAGACAAAACGTAAGTATTTATTAGAAATAACAACTTCAATTTTACTCTTAGGCAATTCAACAGTGGAAAATAATTATAAATACAATGACAATACTTTCATATAAATCTTATAAATGTTTATAATAGCACAGTAAGTCATGCAAAACAACTACATATACATTATAGAAACTATAACCATCACCTTCAGATAGACTTTATTTGTTAACTGTTTGTCTATACAGCATGACTTATTATAGAATCAATTTAATTTTTATGTGAAAATGTGGGGAAATAAATTTGTCACCTGCTAGAAAAAATTCACCGTAAAATCATACATAAATTTTTATTGTCGGTATCCTTCAGAAGCAATTATAAAAATGAAAGGTTTCTTCAATCTTCGACTATACATTTAATTGGAAAAGAAAGGGAATTTGCAATCAAATCAATATGCTAACAAAGCGGCAGCATGTAATTCGAAATGACTGAATAGAATATTTTAAATTGAAATCAATTACTATTGAAACAGAGTACAATTGCAAGTAATTGTATCAATTCCTGTTTGATTCACACATTTCAGTTTTCAAAATGCAATTAAATGCCAAGTTTAGTCTGTAAATATGTACAGAACCAATTTTAAGTCGATAGTCTTGTATGCTATCTATTTATCTCATATATTTATAATCAGTTTTAAATGAAAGAAAAATATTACTAGTTATACTACTGTATACTCATAAGTTGAGCATTTCTCTTCAGTTCAATAGAGTCGTGTTTTTTCTGTTATGTCCTGTTCAATAATCTGTTATGTCCTGTTAAATAATATGCTTTATCGTTACAACAAATCTGGTATAAAACAGACTTAAGCGAGGAAGTAAATGTTCTGATGATTATCAAGCATTTTCGGACAAATCAGCAGTTTCAGTATGCGTCAAAACAATTTAAAAAATGTATTTTCAAAATAATTATCGGAACATCTGATGCTAAAATTGAAAATGGGGAATACTCATTGAACATCCAACGGATAATATAACAATATGTCTTGTGAAAATGACATGAAAAAATAATCACATTTACACATGCTACATGTCACTTTGATATAAATTGTCCTTTCTAAACATATAAGCACTTGATTGTTGTAGAAACATATACATTGTATATGGATTAAATATATTCACAAAGTGCTTTAGCCGGTCCCACACAGCGGCCATCATCCCATTTGTTTACATAGTAACCAATGTATACACAGTCGTGACCTTGCGGCTCATTGGGCGCCCAAGCCTGGAACAAAATACATGTACAGGTAAGTATTCAAAGTGTGTCTACGACAATTTGGGGAAAATTTTCAAAAGGGATTGAAAATAACAACATTTGATAAAAATTGCAAACTTGGTATGAGTTTGTTCATAAGCTTATAGCTTCTTAAGCTACTTATAAGCTAATAGCTTTATAAAATTGACTTTGAAGTAGCACGCCCCCTTTGAAGTATTTTAGTACATGTTTTTACTTTGGCTGCCAAATTCTCGTCCATTATACAGGTGCGGTTATGTTGCAAGTATTTTCATTGGCTGATAAAAAACGCTATTCGGCGCCACTATACGCCGTTATTATCCGGATTATTATTATTTATTAGCTAAAGAACTATCAGTTACTTATATCAGTTGGGTTTACACATTGAACATACGGGCAACATTCAAATTTGAAGCTGATGATAGAAATTATCAAAACCAACACCTTTTTTAGTTTAAACATATTTATTCTCAGAATATGTACATAATAACATTTGAAATATATACGCATACAAAATTTGACAATATTCAAAGAAGAGGATTAGAACGAAAGACTAGGTCTTATAGAATCCTTCTCATTTTAGTTGTTAAATATATCGGTGTCGAATTGGTGATGTAAAATTTTCTGAGAAAAATATATATTACCAAACGTATAATAGAAACAAATATATATGGAGTATGAAAGAAGTAGAAATTCAAAAGAGAAAAAGGGGAAGGAGAGTCTCATAATTATTTGTTATGTGTTAAATCGTTAAAGGAATCTTTTAGTTTTTGCTATAAAAGACTGCACGTTAGAGAATATTGCTGAATTATCATCATCTGATAGGCCAGGGTTTCCGAAGAGAAGAATATCGAGATTGATGTCAAAAGCTTGAATATTAATAAATAATTCATTTCGTTACAAATTGTAGCGATAACATTCAAAGAAGAAGTGATACGACCACATTCATATAAAGGTGAGGGTGATATGTTTCTTAGAAAAAGATGATAATTTAAAGAACTGCATTTTGTGCGAAGACGTGTATGGAGAACCTGTAATTTTCTGTTACCAGAATAGTAGTATTTTGGTGTGCGTTTCCTGTTACGTGTTAAGAAGTTCTTGAATGATGAAAGTGTTGGTAAGTTCCGAACTTCGGTTGGTAAGTTGTTCCAATCGCGTATAGTAGAGGGAAGAAAGGAGTTGTAGTATAAAGAAGTTCGCGCATATATTCAAGCAGTATTATCAGAGTTACACAAATTATGCCTTGTATTAGTTTGATCAGGAATAAAGGAAGAGAGAAAGTCGGGAGTCAAATTGTTATGCATTTTATAAAACAGAATTAATCGGTGATTATACCGTTTTTGTTCTAATGTTTCCCAATTAAGTGCTTGAATTATGTATTCGATAGAAACTAATCTTGTCGCACCTGAAGCAATCCTAGCAACTCGAAAGCTTAGATAAGATTCAGAATGAATGTGACATTCATTCTGAATCTTATCTAAGCTTTCGAGTTCATATTTAAAGGCATTTCCACGAATGACGTCTGCGTATTCAAGAATAGGACAAATGAATGAAGTGTAAATTATCTCAAGAGATTTTCTGTCCAAAGAATATTTCAACTTTCGCATTATATTAACGCGCTTCCAAGCCTTTTCGGTTATATATTTAATGTGTGAATGCCAATTACAGTTATTAGAGAGAATAAATCCTAGGTGTTTATGATCGTTAACTTCTGGTATATTTTGATTGAGCATATATAAAGAAGGGTGGTTTGCGTTATGTTTCCTAGATACAATAAGTGATTCTGTCTTTGTTGGGTTGAATGTGACAAGCCAATTGTCTGCCCATGTTGTGATTGTCTGTATATCCAGCTGCGACTAGTGGATTTTCTATAATAATATAGACACCTTTTTTAGAATTATGTTTACGAGAAATGAATGATTACAACATCAATAGCGGTGAGTGATTGATATTTAACCGATTACATGATTAAACTTTCTCATATGAGCAAACGTATGCATGTGTCATTTCACAAAATGAAATTTTACGAACGTATGTGAAAATGAAACACGAAAGGCTATTTTTTGTAATATCTTGTCCATGTATCAAAGTGAGGCATTGTTTTAAAATCATCGATTCTTTCATTGATTTGCAACAATCAAAGAAAAACAACTTTCGCAAACTTATTTCTATTTACTTTTCCTTGAAATGAGCAATTTGATTTTGATTTGTATCCCTTTTTATGTTATATATATAGCGAGAAAAAGAGGAATAGTGACAGAAGCCCCTGTTGTTTCATTAACCTTTTCAATAGTATAATTGTAAATCTAGTCAAATACTGTTAATTATCTTAAAAAGAAAACTCCACGGTTTATTTCACATGCAAAATGAAGTCATAAACTGATCGCGTTTGAGGCAACCGAAACGTCACATTTATAAACTTTAAAAAAAACAATAGTTTTTTTTTGGAACACGGTAACGGACAATGACAATAGATTTTATTTAGCATTATACATTGTACAAATGTTTATAGCAACAAATGATGAAAATTTTCCAATACATGTACAAAGGTAACTAAGGGATTTTTTATTTTCATACGGCTGTGCAAACAGTTACCGTTATTCCTTCACGATGCTCTCAAAAGAGTAATCATGTAATAAAAGTATAAGTCGAACACAATAACGTAACTTTAATCGGTCAAACCATTATGACATAATTGATTGTGAATGTTCTTCGGTTATTATATGTTGCATTTTTATTGCAAAATAGAATAATAAAAGTTGATATGGACACGTATCGGAGTGGCGCAGTGGTTAGAGGGTTCAGATTATGAAGATCTCAGGTTATGAACGTGGTTTTTGAGTTCAAATCTGCAATTGTGCACAATTCATGAGTATGATTTTTATTTCAGAATAATGGTGTGTCACAACAATTTTCATTTATCGCCCTAATCACGACGGTCTTTTCTTATACTTAACCTGTTGAATGCGAATTTTCTCAAAAAGCATTGTGTGAATAAAATTCACGGGGAATTTAATTCCTGTTGGTTGTAAAATACCGACAATCAAAAAAATAAAAGAAAAAAATACCTTTTTACAGGATTATAACAAGGGTCTCTTCACTCACAGAGAGATTTGGGCTGTAGATGCAATTTGCATGAAAACATCCGTTATATTATACGGAAATAGACTATTACATTTTACAAATTACTCAAAATATGGTATACAAGATCACAAGATCTGGTAAATCATGTTTGTTGATTTTCTGACGCAAAGGCGGTATTTCTCATGCAAATATAAATTGCATACTTCTGATTTCTCCACAGTGAGGTAGCAGAAATTTACGCTTATATAACTCATTTAGGTCGTCTTGACAACAAAATAAGAACCGCACTCGATATGAAATGTAGCCATTTCTGTTTTAATGAAATTAATTAAATGCACCATTAAATTTTGCAGTTGTTAATATTTTATCTTCAGATATTTCTAAATTTGAGTAATGATTTGTTCCTCCATCAATTTCTTTCGATCTCCCTTTTCTTAATTGTTCACCATTTACTTTCTTAACATGCATGCTCTTATAAATATTAAATAGTTCACAGTTGATATAGAAACATATACACTGTATTGAAGGGTTAAGATTTTGGTGTGTCACATACAGCATATGTATTGTAAGTATATTTTATTGCATTCTATAATATGTTTGAAATTTATATACATGTTTTAAGAATAGAACAACACTTTTTGAGCAAAAGACAATTTTATAAAGTGACAGTGTATGCTTAAATTGCAATTTTTAATTGTCATTATTAACAAGCTAAATTACTTTGATTATAATGCATATAAACGTTTATTGTTAACTGTTTATAACTGATAATTATGATGAACAGTACAGTGATACATACAGTGAACCCAGAATTAACACTTTTCCCATCATCCCATACACAATTCGTGCCAGCGGAACAAGTCATACCGATCCAATGGTAAAATTCTGTGAAAAAGTAAATTAGTACTTACAAATGCATGCAAAAACAGGATAAAGTGTTCTGTTTACGTACATTTATTTCTTAGAAGTGTTAAAATCAAGATTATTTCCTTTGTAAAATAAGTTTAGAAATTTTGTCAAAATGCCATGCAAAGTTATGAAAGTACATTGTGCGTGTCTTCTACATTTTAGATAGATTTTTAAAAAAGACTTTGGACGGTAAAGGTAAGCCCCTTTTCTAAAATAGAGAACAGCAGAATTCAACATTTCAACACGAAAATGGCGAAATTTTGAATTTAGAAACATCCGCAGATGTGTTCATATGACGGTTATCGTGGAGCCTTCAATGTGACGTACTATTGCTATTCCACGAAAAACGGCGTATGGTCCCAAAGTAAAAGAATGCTTGTGCCCTAAACGAGAAAACAATGAGCGAAACTAAATAAAATGGAATTTTGAAAAGGGATCTGAGATAATTTAAATAAAATAATAAACAAAACAGCCCAACACAGTAAAATTGTAAAATGCTGCAGGCTCGGTTTGATTGAGCCTGTTCATGGACGGTAATGGAAAGTTACCGTCCACGCCCCCTAGCAGAATTCAACATTTAAACACTAAAATGGTGAAATTTTGAATTTAGAAACATCCGCAAATGTGTTCATACGGCGGTTATCATAAGCCTGCATATCACAGACAAGACGTCAAAAGACAAATTAAAAAAATAACATGCAACATATTTTAAGGGTGATTATACAGTATTCAAGTAGGAATACTTGAAACATCCAAGTTGGAAAAAGCCAAATAGAAATAAACTTAAAGTACCACATAGCATGTATACACAGCACTAATGTCGTGCTGAACGATCTTCAAGGATCGAAAATATAACATCAAGGATTGAATGAACGGGGTGACTTTTTACAGCTGCCACACAGCACAAAAAAAACACTGATATGACAATAAAATAGAGAAAAGCAGACTCCCAAAAGAAAGCCCAACACGACAAAATTGAAAATGTTGCAGGCACTGTTTGACTGTTCATGGACGGTACTATCCAACATAGGATATCTAACTTTAAGGCTCATCTAAAGATTCATACGGAAACAGAAGAAGAGAACATTTATGTTAAAAGTGGTATATTTAATCATACTATGACAAAATTTAATGTTAGTAGCCACACAATTTATAAATATATTTTGCCTTTTTTAACTTATCAATCCTCATGAAATATAAAAAGACACTTTATAGCAATATACATAATTTTCACATTTGAAATTAAAGCATAATGTATCAGTTAATCTAGACGATCACCAATAGAATAAATTTCACCCTGTATTTTGAATCTTTAATTTTTTAATAACTGGACTCGATAATAAAACCCACTTCATTTTAAAACATGGCCATTAGGCACTAAATCTCCAAAGTTTTGCAGCAAAACTATAATCTAACCGACCTGACACTTGGGTTTGTAGAAAATCTATTTCTTCTTGGCTTTCAAGAATAACTAGTCTTGCACCAATACTACTGCAGGTCGCCTGCAAAAGAAATTTACGACTTACTAAATCTTAATAAATATACTGAACACAATTTTGTTCATTTAATGGAATTTTAACTTGCACATATCGAATAGTGAATGTTTATGCTTCTTGAACTTTAATAAACGTACTTAATTTTTCTTATTCGAAGTTATGTAGTGTAAACAGGACGAGGTTTCCGATAGTGATCAAAAGAAGGAAACACGGTATGTAAATTGGTAAATATTGCCTCGTTTTGAAATAGTCCCCGGTTTTGAAATACGTTTACTGAACATAATTTAGCTCAGGTTTTGCTTGTTCAATGTATGACGTCCTTAAGAGGCACTGTAAGGAAATAAAAAATAAAGTTCTGTTATATGCATTAAATGACACCTGTAGGGTTAGGGTTACCCCTATAAATTTTAACGTGTGGATTACGAGTTAAAGAAAATTCTATAAACTAAATATTTCCTTTTAGAATGCTTTTTTTCAAAAGTGAGAAAACTATATAATCTTTAATAACATCATAATGAAATATGCTTTCCAATTGATTATAGTAAAGAAACAAATAATACTCGTAGAATACAGCTAACAACCTAAATACGCAATACGATTGATTTTACTTAAAATATATACCTAATATACATATCATACCCCACCCATTTTATGCACATTTTTTATCTTTTTCCTTCTTTGAGAGTCTTATTCAAAATAGCATTTATTTGAATTTTATGACGAGTTACAGATACGACAATTATAGTTATAAAATAATTAAATATGCTAAATTCAAACACACACATTTTATGTGACCATTATGTGTATTCACTTTTAAATGAGTAGCATAGAATATAAAAAGTGAATATTTACCGCAGCTTCTTGTCGTGTCATCGAACCAGAACTTATAAAGTAGTCGCTTGCTGTGAAATAATTAACCATGAGAATACTTAAGAGTAACATAAAACAATATAATTACACTTTATACACACTAAACACACTTAACATTTTCTATTAAAATTACAGGTGAACATGGAAGCTTATAAATGAAATATGGTTATAATAGTAGCTGGAAAAAGGTTCCTTGTGGAAAATTATAATCGGACTAAACCTCCTCTGCCACGTTTTGTGTTCTTGTTCTAAGGCTGGTTGGTGACATTCGGTGCTTTTTTTCACAGCATTTAAAGGGACTGAGTTCTTGGAATGCTGCGACTCATGTTGTTTTGTTTCATTTTCTATAAATAATACAAAAGTCCCTGGAGACTACACAATTTCTGTGACATAAAGTATGTCATCAAATTTGACAAACAAACTGTCAACGCTATTGTTCACATAACATTGTTAGTGAAAAGTAGATTTGGAAATATACAATATATTTTAACACTTTGAAATATTCAGGTCTGAATAAAATGAATGGAAAACTAATTAAATATATATATCATCAAATTCCAAGGAACGGTCAGTTCACGCTTCGTGACAGTTAAACCTTCTTTGAACAATTGGAATAGAAAATTGAGGAATTCCATACATAACATATAGAGAAAGCAGCAGTTTAAATAAATAAAAAGTAACTTGACTTTAGATCAATCAAGACATATTTGCTTAATGAAGAATATAAAACAAATAAACAAATATACGAAGTTATAAAATGAAAACATCAAACACTTGTCTAACAAGGCATACTTGATGATGATGATAATGATGATGATGATGATGATAATGGTGTGTGTGCGTGCGTGCGTGTGTGCGTGCGTGTGCAATTGTTTTTTTTAATTGGAATATATTGACTTATATAATATTGCACGTTTGTAACGTCGCTTTTCATTGGATAATCATGACGTTTATATAGTTTTATATACAACTCTCATTTGTGTAAGAGACTAAAACAGCAGAAATCAGCAAAAGTAACTATGTTCAGTGCTTTTCCATCTCCTGTGTCCTTTCCCTTTCGTTTCAAATGTAAACCCTAGACAAAAAATGAACCAATACCAGCTAATTAATCTATGCTGTTGTTTTTTTATTTTGTTTTTCTTTGTTTTTGCAAAATTTTAACCTCTGTAAAAAACTACACTGACATAAATATATATGTAATTGGCCCTAGATCGCTCGAAGGACCAATCGAACTAATCTGAGCAATTACTTAGACGAGTATCCTGACCAAGTTTGATGACAATTGAGTCAAAAATGTGTTAACAAGGTTTTTCCATAATTGGGTAGTGTGACCTAGTTTTTGACCCCAGATGACCCATATTCGAATTTGACCTAGAAATCATCAAAACAAATTTTCAGACAAATTTCCAAGATATTTGGATCAAATTTTAGCCACTAGACTGTTAACAATATTTTTCTATTCTTAGTAACTGTGACCTAGATTTGCATCCAAGATAACCCATGTTCGAACTCATCCGAGCAATTACCTAGACAAGCATCCTGACCAAATGTGATGAAAACTGAGTCAAAAATGGGATCACTGGAGTGTAAACGAACAAAAGAACGGACGACGGACATACAACGAGCCTTAAAGCTCACCCTGAGCTAGCTCAGGTTAGCTAATAAGTTCCAAACCATGCGATAATACTAGTATACAATCATAAGGTAATGATAATAATTTGATCATTTAATTTATTCATGCATTTTCATAGAGAATTGTTCGTCCGTGCAGTCAGATTTATTTTGTTTGGTGATTATGATTACAACGCGCGAACTTAAAATGTTCCTGAATGTGTTTTGTATGATGATATGACACAAACAGATATTTTACCAGATGATTATGTTATAGATAATGAGTCACCTAGAATACCAAAAGATCAAGGTCATCTCAATAACATAGGATTAATTTTGCTTAATTTTTTTAAACAGACAGAGTGGTAATCAGGAAAGGATATGAACATTTGTAGCTTTACCTGTGTAAATGATCATGGTTCTATTGTTATTGATTATGAATTATGTAAACCAGAATCGTTTAAACATGTAAAATGATTCCCAGGTAATTGAACCTGATTCTTTTCCGGATCAGTGTTTGATTGATTTGTACAGTTGTAAATGCGTATTTTGTGCATTGATGAAAATATGTGATCAGACACCGTTAAAACTAAATATGTATGGAATAATTAATTGATGATATATCATAATATTATGATAACAAAATAGTAATGAATGTCTGGGTATTTTCTTTCTTCAAAATATTATAAAAGAGGTTGCATCACATTTTTTAAAAATATGTTTAAAACTGGCACGAAATTTTACGCAATCCAAGTAGGGCTGTATGTCATTTAACAAAAGAAATATAAGATTTAATCTTTTTTAGACATTATTAAATAAGTTTGCCAGCCAACAGTAAGATTAAGAATTTCATCTTAAAAGTTACAAATAGAGGCTGGACGTTGGTCTAGGCATAGAGGATCCCCTTTAAATGCACGAAAATGTATTGTATGTAGTGTTTTAGAGGTTGCGGTACCATTTTATATTAAAATGTTCAATGAATACTGAATTAAGACAGAAATTCATAAATCAGAAATATTGGAATAGCCAAATATGATAAAATTTATTGACTTATCAACGATGGAAAATGATACAAATTTAAAGAAATTAGGTACTTTTTGAAATTATTTTTAAAAAATCAATACGGTTCAAAGGGGTAAAATTCTGTAAAACGAAAAAATACATTCATTGGCTTAATTACGTTAAAAAGTATGGTTGTAAAGAATCATATTATTTTGATATATTGTAGTCTTTGTTTTCAGTCATAGTAAAAATGATTTTCAAATTACCAATTATATACGTCATGCATTTCGTTTTGGTGAGACAGAAAGTCATAAATGGATGCAATGTATATTCGCATAACATTAAATTTTATCGTTATAATTGTATTAAATATCTCATACATGTTTTGCCACCTTTACTTTGTTTGGTAAGATAAAATTAAATCAATGTTGACTATTATAGTTAGTTGTTTATACAAGAGGAAAATATAATCATGTTTTTCACAGTGAGGTTTATTCATGACCTACCGATCTGTATTCGGACATAATGGCTAACTAAACTGTGTATTTACCGTTGTATTTGCAGGTATTGCATACAAAAACACATTGCTTTATGTAAAGTAAATGTTTTGTTTGCAATTTTCAACGTCTTGACATTAATTTCTATTTAATATTTCTTAAAGAAAATAATAGCAAATTGTATTACCAAGAAAACAATCTCTTTCATTGCATACTTCATTTTCAGTTGTTGGACCCTGGCAAGTTTGTCCTCCGTTGCTAGGTGACGGATTAGAACATGATCTTGATCTAGTCCTTGTTCCATCAGTGCATGTAACAGAACATGGACTCCAGCTGTGCCAAGTGCTCCATCCACCATTTACTACAAGAAAATTGTAAAAGATAATGAAAAAGGGTTGAGTGGTAGTGGTAATTGCAAGCTACCGTCTAAGCTCTGTCGGTTTTAAATTAACGTTCAAAACACTTGCCATCTCAAAGTCTGCAGATAATAATTCAAATTTCACACTACGAACTTTACAATTTACTCTTTGAACTTTACATTGCTATCTTTACACTTCATTTATGTAGAATTTCGTAATAATGTTAACTTTGAAAGTATGCAATTAACCACCAGTGTTTACTTATTTATAAAATAAATGCACAAGTCATTTAGATGCGTATGATCCAGTAAAGTACAAAACGATAGAAAGGCGGCAAGAGAATACTGTTACAGAAATATTCTAGTTCATTGTTTGTTTGTTTCATTTTACGCCTTTTCCCAACAGTATTTCAGTCATAAAGGCGGGTAGTTTCCTAACCATCGTTCCTGGAGAGTTACAGTACTAGACTACCTTTCTCCGCGCTAAACTACCAAAGCCTATCCCGGGGATCGAACCAAAGCCAGAGAGGTAACCGGATTAGAAGTCATCGATTCTAACCCCTCGACCACGTCTAGTTCATTCAACTACGTAATTAATTACGTACTTTGTATCATATGCACTTACACGAGTAACTTGTTTTGAATATTTGACGTTATTTAAGCACGAAATTCAGTTATAATATTAACTTTTTCTTTTGTAAAATATTTGTAAAATACATACATGGAACACTTTTTACTAATAATAATCATATTCCTGTGTGATATTGTAAATATGTTCATATATTGTTTTGAAGATATCTATGCATTTTTAACTTAATCTAATCTATTGGTTTTAAAGATGTATGCCGTGGATTTTAAGATACAATATAGGCTATGGTACAAAGCTATATTATAATAATTTTTAAATAAAAGTTTCCAACAGTATAATTATAATGCCGATTATCTAAAAAGTTGTCTTTGTTATTTCAAACTCATGAATACGTAAACAGAATAAAATATTCCGGAACAAAATGTCATGACGCTTTTTAGAACGGCTTTAATTGTTCCGCAATGATTTGTGCATGCGTAATTTGCTTTTTAAGCAATATACTTCTATATTTCTTTAAAAAAAAACATTTTTTAAGTATTTTTCCCCAACAATATTTTGCAGCAGTGCATAGCTATATACACTCAGTGTACATATAATTATCAGTTAAGATGTTAAGTACAAATCATGCCTTTTTCAGTTGTAGTTTATATTTATTGTTGATATATATAAGTGTGATTGAAATTTCAGGTATCATAACCATTTATTCATTTTTTTATATATTTTTATTTTTTTAATATTTAGATATATTTTGATTTTTTAAATGTTCTAATCTATTTCAACGTAAAAGATTTTTTGTAAGATTGTAAAATGTTTCAATATTTGAAAATACTCACCAATATGCGCGTAGACGTTCCAACCTGAAGCAGAAATTGTTGAGCCCTCGGGATAGTTGTTGCTCAGCTCGCACATCTTGGTATCTTTATTGTAGTTAAATGACAAACTATGTACAGTATTTTTGTACAGAACAGAGCATTCCAATAGTGATCTTACAACTTTGCTATCTGATACGTCTGCAATACGTCCGTTTGTTTGAAAGATCTTTATTTTGTCACACAAGCATTCTCTTAGAATCAAAACGAACATGATTCTAGTTTTAAGATACATTTTGTGCAAGCTTATAAATTTAAATGATATGCAGGCCCGTTCTTTTGAAATAAACACAGATAAATCAATTTCTTCTTGTGTTGTTTTTTACCACATGAACAACGTTCCCTTAATTATTAGTAAAATACATTTTGTATAAAAACACTTTGTTTTTAAGATTAAATGAACGCGTACAATGTAAATTAAGACAATTCCATGTTAACAATGTTATAAGGATGCGCGAACTGTAAGAACTGAAAACAAAAAGGCTGGTTATGTCAGGTACATCGAATACAAAATATTGATTATTTAAACGGATGTTACAGTTTTTTGTTGTTAACATTTCAAACGTAAGTGCATTTTGAAAAGATCGTTATTGATCGTTAATTGAAATTTTGCAAAGTGTTTGTTTTCTTTTAATTAATAAGTATGAAATATGTATACTTCCAAATCGAGCAATCCATATCCTTTGACCTTTTTTGCGTTGTTAATGTGTTAGCACTGCTTCAGTAGAAGAGCAGTTAATTGTCTTGACTCATCATTATTTGATCTTTCAATGTGATCTTGTTCACTTATTTACAAATATTGATTAGAATGAAACAAATGCTTTCACTATTCACCGGGCTTAGATAAAGTTAACTGTTTGGCACTGCCACTAGAATGTTGATGTTTCAGGGATTCCTGCTTTTTCTTTTGTATCTTTCCTTTCTTATTTTAGTCTCAATAAAAAACAAAAATGGGTTCTTTATAAAATAAACAAGAAGTATCTCAAAAAGGTTCAGTAGGGTTAATCCAACAAACTGTACTACGAGTTATTTATCGGACTATTTTATGTATGGGCAATACCTCATCATTTAAGAGTCACTAACTCTTCGGCAAGTGTTCATGAGTCAGATTCCGGTCGAAAGCCGTCTAAAATCAGTTTGACTTTATGTAAAATGTATAGGGAAAACATTTAAAAGAATTGACATTGATCATTTTCTAGTGCATATATTATTTAACATAAGAACTGAGTTAATATTACCTTCTGAGTTAAACATTTTCTCCAAAATAACGAGACCACCAATAACGTTCACGACTCTTTAAGTTTGTTCATGCACATGAAAATATAGTAAATCATACAGTTTATGATGTTCAATATGTGTTCAATATACTATGTGATCATGGGTGTTTCAAATTATATTATGCTTATAATTTTCATATATATGTTTGCATATAAAAGACGTATTTATAAATGACTGCATAGATGTTGGTGTTAGAAACCGAGTTCCCTTACCGATACGTTGAGAACACATACATCTTAAATTTTCCCTTTTCAAGTTAAATCTTACCATTGATTATTATGTCCATTGTAACAAAAGTATTTTACATGAGAAAGGTTATTTACTTTTGTTACTTTTTGGGGTAGTTTCGGTGTTTTAGAATTTCCCTCTGTACGTGAAGCAAATCATCGACAAAGTGACCCCTCGGAAGAATTAATCATTAAACAAATCATCGACATAACGTTCTCATTTATAAACTTCCTTGTCAATTTTCGTTTTGATTAAACTTTAATTGTTCAAGTTATTCTTTTTAAATCTAAATGACATTCAGTATGTAAAGGATATTTGTTTGTTTTGCATGCAAGAACGAAATATATTTCACACTGTCAGAATAATCATACAGTTTCACTGTAGATAGTTTTTTTTTACAACGAGTCAGCGATACACTGAAGTGTATCATATTTCAATGTACAGTTTCATTTATAAACCTGTTGCTGGGAGTATAAAATATATCAACCTGTTTAAAGGTCAGGTCGTTTAAGCTAGCAAATATGCGCGTTTACATCAGTTAGGAGAGACACGCTGATAGTGTGTAGCGGTTATTTTTTTATTGAGAATAGAATTTTGTTGTTTTGTAGGGAGTTTTGTTGGTTTGCTGAAGTGACTGATAAATTTGTGGTGATCTTTAATTGATAGGGTTTTTTGGGTTTAAATTTGTTTTTTTTGGTTTTTAGTTAATTTTTGTGAAGATATAATTGGTTGATTTGGTTGAATGTTGGTATTGTCAAAATTTTTAAATTTGTTCTGCTTTTTTTTTGAGGATATATGTAAAAAAGGGTGCTTTAGTTTAAATTGTTTTCTGATCGATTAGATTGTGTAATTAATATTTTTGGATGAAGTTTTTGGTTTATATTGTTCTTAGAGTTTTTAAAATATCATTTTTTTTGTTCCCTTTATTTGGTGGGGAATTTAATTTTTTTGTTTTATCATAATTTTTTTAGACTTTGGGGTTCGCCAAATTCCCTTGTTTCGCCATAAAAGGCTAAAAACGTGAAAAGGGGTATTTCGATAAGTGGTGATAAATATGTCCTGGTTTTGTTTGGTGTAAAAATGACAAGTTTTGTTTGGGGTGTAAATAGCCTGATCGAGTTTTTGTTTAAATGTATATATTGATTTGAGATAGAAAAAGATAAAAATACCTAAAAAAATAGTGTTAACTAAACTAGTTTAAATAGAGGTTTATATGTATAGAAGCGGTGACGGGCTGTGTTTAAAGTTTATGTATACTGAAGAATTTATTGCGTTTTAGCAGGAGAGCACCCTTTGTTGAATACTGTTTATACGGTGTTAGAATTAAGTGGTTTTGGGGAGACATTTGTTTTGATATTTTGAATCATTGTTTTAATAAGTTTATATCAATGATAAAGATATAGCTTATAATCCGTTGAAGTTATAAACATCAATAATTGATAAAAGTTAATAACCGGTGACCAGTGGGTGATTATTCATAAAAGTGCATGTAATAATTGAATAGATGTTGTTTTTTTTGCCGCCGGTGCTCAGTTGGTTGTTTTCTTAAAGTTACATAGTTGTTAAACACTACAGGAAGATTATTATCAGTGCCCTGGTTGTTACTGTTGATACAAGTTCATTGCCGATGTTCGGTAGGTGCCATGCTATATAGAGATTAGATTTGGAAAAACAATTGTCGGTGCTACAGAGGTACACCATTTTGTTGAGTAATAAGTGTTTACTTTACGGTTTCGTAAAAGTTTATTTTTTTTTAATAGTAATCCATTATTAAGCAATTATGGATTATGATAAATGGGTATCATTGGGAGAGAGGCTTGGGTTGAACGACGGGGAGTTACGTGATTATGTTCAAAACAAAGAATCAGAATATCTTGATAGAGAAGAGAGAAATATTAGACGTGAAGAAGATAAACGGCGATTTGAGGCCGAGCGTAAAGCAAAAGAAGCTGAACGTGAGGAAGAGCGACGGCGATTTGAGGCAGAGCGTTTAGAAAAAGAAGCTGAACGTGAGGAAGGGCGACGGCGTTTTGAGGCCCAGCGTCTAGAAAAAGAGGCCGAGCGTCTAGAAAAAGAAGCCGAACGTGAGGAAAAGAAACGTTTATTTCAAGCTGGAGTAGAGATGAAAATGAAAGAGCAAGAAATAGAATTAATGAAGTTAAAATTGAGGCTGGGGATCGCCTTGATACCCCACCTAGCACCGGTTTGAGGCCAAGATTGCCTAAATTTGAAGAGTCAAAAGATGACATAGATGCTTATATAGAGCGTTTTGAAAGGTTCTCTATTAGTCAAGGATGGAAAGAAGATACATGGGCAATAAGCTTAAGCTCTTTATTAACGGGGAAAGGTCTTGAAGTTTACACTAGTATGCCTCCTGAGCAAGCATCAGACTATCAATAATTAAAGACAGCAGTTTTGAAAAGATACCAATTAACAGAAGACGGTTTCAGAAATAAATTTAGAGAGAGTAAGCCGGAACAAGGGGAGACTGTAAACCAATTTATGGCTCGCTTAGATAGGTACTTTAGTAGATGGACAGAAATGGCTGACGCTGCGGATACAGTAGATAAATTGAAAGATCTTATTATTAGAGAGCAATTTGTAAAAGTTTGTTCAACAGAGCTAGCTCTTTTTCTTAAGGAACGAAAGCCAAAGGATCGTAGAGATGTCATCTCTTTGGCTGAACAATACTTAGAAGCTCATGGCGGTACAATTACAAATAGTAAAAGCTCAAAAGTTGCCAATTTTTCAAGAAGCTCATGGCGGTACAATTACAAATAGTAAAAGCTCAAAAGTTGCCAATTTTTCAAATAAATCACCAATACGCCTTAATCAAGGTAATCTATTAAAACCAATACAGCACTATCACAGAGAAAATAGAAAAGTTACATGCTTCATATGTAATAGAGAGGGTCATGTTGCCAGAGATTGTCGAGATCAGACTAACAAAAGATATGGGGCTGCTGCAATGTCATATGGAGAGCAAAATAGAAATTACTTTAAAACAAATCGTGATTCTTCACCAAGGAACTGGCGTAGTAGGCCTGGAGAAAATAGACGTGGTGGTAGATCAGATGATAAGAAAGTATCGGGGTTATGTATGTCAATTTCTCCAACAAGTTCTTATGATGGTTGTATTGAAGAGGGGGAACTTAAATTAGCCAATGGTAATTCTGTGCCTGTCATTACAAGCATCTGTACAATAGAATCATTAGAAGGTGAACGTCAATTGGATCTGAAACTAGGATATATTGGTAATCAAGAGGTGAAAGTTCTTAGAGACACTGGTTGCGAGTTAGCAGTAGTTAGAAAGAAGTTAGTGGTGAAGATCAAATGCTGAATAAAAAATTGTGTCATGATAGCAATAGATGGTCGGGCCAGGTTGGTACCTATGGCAAAAATAGACATTGATACACCTTATTATAAGGGTAAAATAGAAGCTATGGTTTTAGAGTCAGCAATTTGTGACTTAGTCTTGGGCAATATTCAGGGTGTACTTGATATGCCAAATGAGAAGTGGGTTAGCCGAGAAGTAACAAACATAGCTGCTGTTGTTACTAGAGCACAGGCAGAAAAGGAGAAGAAAGAAATGAAACCTCTTAAAGTTCCAAAGGTCGAAGATAATGAAATTACGGTAGATGTTCTTAAGAAAGAACAATCAAATGACAATACGTTACAGCGTTTGTGGCAGTATGCTAGGGAAAATAAGATCATGAAAACAAAAAGTGGTAATAAATTTAGATATAAAGTAGAAAAAGATGTGTTGTATAGAATATTTGAGACGGTGAAATGTGATTTGAAGTCTGAAACAAGACAAATAGTTGTTCCTAGTAAATATCACAAAAGAGTTATGTCATTAGCTCATGAATCTATAGTGGGTGGGCATTTGTCTGTACGCAAGACTTTAGACAGGATACAGTCTAGTTTTCACTGGCCAGGT